CTTGTCTATCTTATCCCTTAATTTTCATCTGTTTCCAGGATTCTTTTTGTTTTTTTTTTTTTTTTAGTATAGAACCAGAACCAATTATTTTATTGTGATAATATTTGGCTTATAATGGAACTTTGGACATTGAGCAACTTATTTACAACCAAAAAACAAAAATTTGCCATATTTTTCTAACGTGCGGTAATGTGTGAAACAGTCACCGCCATGCACTGCAGGTTCATCGATACATGTTGTGCGGTAGCAATATGTTTGACGTTTTCCACCAGGTATTTTTCTATTTGAATAGACAATGCAGTCTCGTTTTCTTTCTCCTACATTCATAGCATTTAATTTATTGTCCAAGTTTGTTGTTCAAAGAAGATGTGGAAGAACACACTCGGGACTCCTGAAACACACTTCTCAACTGATCAATCAAAAGCTTGACAAATTCCCAATGGGACAAAGGTTTTTCTTTTTTTTTTTTTTTGATGCTCAGTATAGTATACAGGAGCTAAATGCATATTTGTACCCCCCAGAAGAATAATTTCCTCCACCATTCTAAAGATTTTCACAAAAAACAAGATAGAGAAGCACACTGATGTGCATGACCCACACTGTTCATATTTGCAACATGATTTAGAATCACTTTGCGCTTCTTGACTGGTGTACTATTTCCACCACACAATGTCCTTGTGGTAGGTAGATTTCATGCCTGCATGATTTCAAGAGCTGAAAATTGTCACTATCCTTTTGCCTTTCCACACAAGAAGCGGATTATTTTTACTACATGCTGTTTTTTTTTCATTAAAAATGTTGGTTTTTTGATTTGTTCTGGTATTCCCCTTCTGGTCTTTGTACCAGCAAGATGACATTTCATCTTTAGTAGCTCTTCTCCTAGGACAGTACTAGTGTAATATCTGTCACAAACATGTGCTCTCGTGTTGCACTGGGAACTTTTTCCAACAACTTTTCATATAAATGCAATGGAATTCTTATCTTCCAATAAGAAAGGTGGTCTGCTGGAATTACGATGTCCCCTTGCACTTCCAAGTGCAAAGGGTTACAATTCTTTATACAGCCAACTATTGTAGTTGTAAGAGCAGAGTTATACTGAGTGCACAGTACTGTGGCGTACATCAGGATAAATCCCATCACACAGGAGAGGGTGAACTGCAGAAGGAAGAGGGTGTCAGCCCAGCCTTCGAACTCCACCGCCTTTTGTGCATCTCCTGTGAAACATGCAGTGGCTAGGGTGGGCAGAATCATGAACAGTGCATTGTAGTAGAGCAAACCATATTTTCCCAGCTCTTTTGAATCCAATTTTTGTTTTACATATGCACCATTTGCCACTGTCAGGACATCATTTATCAGAATAAAAACATAGCCTTCCAGATCAAATGCCAAGTCAGAGCTGGCAGCTACAAAGGCTCCAATGATCATTGCAAATACGGTCATTTGAATACCCCAAGAAAACGTCTTCTTGAGTAAAACTCCTTCAGCAAACATTGTAAACAGAATGGAGAACCTTCTCAGAACTGTAAACATTGGCAAGTTCAGTTTCTTTGTGCTGAACAGTCCCGTGATTTGGTTCCCAAAATATAGAAGAGGTAGTGGAAACGTCTTTTGAGGTACGTTTCTGTCAAGGTCAGGAAACTTGACTACTCTGAGCACCTTTCCCACCCAGAGAACTGCCACTGTGGCCACCATCTGGCCAAGTCCGACACACAGCGAGGAGGGAAACCTGCAGCCTGTGAGCACGCTCTTGTTGACCACCACCAGCAGGAAGGAGCTCGCGCCGTAGAAGCCGGCGGCCAGCAGCCGCAGCAGCGCGGTCAGCGGCTCTGCCGGCGCCATGCCCAGCGCCTCCGCATCTCTGCGCGCCCGGGGCTTCGCGGGG